TGAAATTGTAGAAAGCGTTTTTAGTTTCCTATAATTATAAATGATCTTAACATTATATGAAATCTATCTACATTATCCAAATTCTATAAGATATTATTCCTATCAACCTCTAGAAACAAGTAAATTCCACAAAGTCTTGGTTCTTAAAACTTTTGAAGCAAGACACAGATTGTCAGAAACTTCAGATGTAATTCCAACGGACCATCATAGTCATAAAAATCTAACTTCTTTCGTTACAAGCAACTTTTGCTTAAGCGGTACGCCCTGAAGACTTGTAACTTAGTCGAGGCAAAGTTTCACTTATTTTTGGCCTCGGACCTACATGGAGGGGAACTGTCAGCTTCATGCTCCGGCCTCTTTACTCTGTGGAAAGAGCAGTCGGTTTGAATTAACTAGGATACTGTTTTGGTGCCAGCGACTGTCTGAATAGAGTAGGTAAGAGAAAAATGTCCTGCTTCTCGTGGACATCGAATATCAGTTAAGTAGGCAGTGAGTTATTTATAAGTAGGGTTCGGATGTTCACAACATGTTGTATTTTTATTGGGGCTTCTATTTTGATTCTAAACTGAAATGAAACACTAACTGGGTTACCCTAATCACAATTATGCTTTTCTTATTTTGAATATAAATGCATATTTAGGTCATTTTTATGTTTTTGGTCATATTTATAGATAAACGCATTTTTTTGTTATATTTTGAGGATAAAATTTATAGTTTGGTTATATTTTGGGTATAAAATTCTTACTTGAAACTACATTTCTCAGATATTTACAGTGAATCCTTCAGTTAGTTAAGATGCCGAAAGTGAAGTGTTCTGAAAGTGCGAAGTTAAGAGGTTTCGTTAAAGATTTCGGTGAGAAATGTTTTAGTTCTGATGGAACAAGGTATAGAAGAAACTGAAGGCAGCACAGAAATGCAGAAACAGTAAACATTAAATAGTGGCCGAGTATAAAGAATCATAGCATGTTTCTTTGTAAAACGGACAGGGTCCTTTTTTAGTAATAATATGCCAGTAGTTAATTTTGAGAGCGTTCAATGTACCTTCATTAATTCATTCTTGTGAAACACTTCTCCGGACCTTCTACGGCACGAAAAGAATAATTAAATTTTGCGTGCGAAAGAGACAAAAGGATTTTTTTATCTTAGCCGAGTGCATTATCTCTTTGGAAAGTGTCGTTCTTTCGTGCGTGCGTGATCTCCTCATATCCACGTCATGACTGGAAAAGGCGTTGAGCCCCGTGCAATGTAGGCAACCCATCGAGTCTCCTATTGTACTGTTAAGTTTCACTATGCTAGTTTCTTCATTGTTTCATTGTCTCTGCATCAGATGAAATGTAGTACAGTTGCCACTGCTGTTTGTGAACCAGATTTATATGCTAATTAGTCATCAACACTAGAGACATTATTTAAGCGGCTTGTGTGTACCAGAGTTGTTCGGAGTGTTTGCTCTCGAAAAAATATGCCACAAAACCAACCACTGAGCCAACTCGCGTTGGTGTTTTTTATTTGTAGAATTTTATTTGCTCTTATAGAAAAGAGTGTTTTACCCTAAGTGAAGAACATTGATACACTCAAGGGACAGTTAAGAAATGAATACATAATTTTAGTAGGGAAATGTGAAAGGAAGATATTATTTGTGCAGATGTATTTTGAATAATAAATTTTAAGTGTTTCTAAAAATTATAGAATATGTTGAAAATATGGAACATTACTTATTCTGAGCACAGTAATAAAGCTTCATGCTCCATAGAAGATGGGGGAATTTCTCGACCAGCTAATCGACTTTCAGCTTCTAAAGAAGAACCGACAATCTTTTAGATGAAATTGATAGGTAACTTGATTCCTCTCGTAATTTATTAATTATTTGTTTCCGATTGGTTATATCTTTTGTTAAATGAATCCTGTTTCGCACGATTACCCAAAGGAAGTTAGGCCCACAGATTGAAGTATTACGACATATAAAAGCCGAAGGTAAAGATGTATAACAAATGACATTTTTTTTATCAAAGATTAATAAATATAAAGTTTCAAAACATCTGATAATATAGAGACTATTAAATTAATTTGATACGAATGAAACTTAAAAGAACTGTTGAAAAAAGTGGGGAAAGGATGGTCGTAATCCGTGGAAGGCAAAATATTAATAATAATAAATAAAGTATTCTCAACACAGCTGTAATTTAATTTGAGAGAGATTATAATAATAGTTCGTTTTGAAACGCAGAATATCCAATGGCTATAAAACGGATAGAACGAGAACATCACAGAATTGGCACAGGAATACGAAATTCCAGGTGCCAGAGATGAATTATAGTATTGAAAGCAGGAGTGGCCGTCATTCGGTACCCAGAAAGAAAAAGGAAAAGAAGAAGAAATAAGTCGGGGGAAGTAAAAGACGAATAAAAAGAGATGCATGGTTTCCACTAATATGACGTTTGAAATATGGTGCAACTCAGGTTAAGGTATGAGGGGGTGAAATAGAGAAAAGAAAGTTGAGAAAAGGAAACGGAGGTGGAACATGGAGGCCAGTAAATCTCCATAGCTGATATCTCCCCTGCGACTTGACCTGGATGCCACCGATTGAAGGAAGGCTTCATGTTCCTACTTGCGGGCTTAGGTTAAAATTATTATGCATTACTCTCGAGGCCGCGTAAATCTTCTTTTATACTAATCGTCTGAGAATGTATGTTTATATAGATGTTTGTATTCTACCCAAAGATATTTTTCTGCTGTTTTATTTTTCTCAAATTTGGCTGAAAGCCTATTTGAGATGGTGTTTAGATACAACTCTTAATGTCCATTATAGTTTTGAATCATGCCGAGGTCAAGAATGAGTAGGAGCTATACCTCCACTCCCCCCAACCGCCTACATGGCGTATAGTGAGACAGCTTTACTTTACTTAGCTTACAAATTTGGAACACACACACACACACATCTACTGCCAGCTGACTCGGTAACATTAAGGTGCGAATTTTTTCCTTAAAAGCTTTAGTAAGTTGCTAAGATTTTGTTTAATTGAACTCTGTGCTTAATTAACACTGATTTGCCCATTATTTAAAATTATATGCACAGATGAATATATATAGAGTGACCAAGTTATTTAAACGTTTCACGATTCACTTGCAAATATTCAAAAATGCGGGTCTTACCTCAAAGAAAACAAAGCACTTCTCCTTTATAAATATTATTTGGTGAATGCTAGTTAGTGAAGTAATCACTGTTTCTTCTGAGAATCGAACAAAACTCATAAACGCACATTGTTGGGAAGACGAAGAATTAATAATTGCTAACTCAGGTGGTAAATGTAGCTACCATTGGATTTTAAACGGTAAACTACGTTAGGATTTAATCAGATAAATTATTGTAAAGTAATATGATACTTTTACTTGGTAGAAAACTTCTAGCAGTAAGGAAAGTAACAATCTTCAGACTAAAATAACTTACAAAACCGAAAGTTACCCTCTCCCAAAAATTTAGATGTTACCTATTGATGAATCTAAAGAGAAACATGAACGTTTACTCGGTAACATAAGTTACTCGTTAACAAGAGTTATGAATGTATTTTGCTTTTAGTGACGATATTTTCAACCAGGACTGTACTCAGAACAGATTAATTTAATACGCATATTATTCGTTTGTAATGTTATTTCTGCACAGTCTGCGTTATTTGTTCTGTCCGTGGGGGGATGCCACTTGGCAAAGAGGCCAGAAAATCCTTTTCAAAGGTTATTTCTCAATTTAGATATAAGGTTTGGCATTTCTTGGCCACAAAGACTGATGACAAATAAAATCCTTGCACTTTACTTCACAATAGAAGAAAGAACAACTATGGCTTTACTAGGAAATGAGATGTTTCGACTTCTGACTGTGAAGAAATTCTATGGCGTGGCAACCATTTAAATGGTGAAGTAATGTCTTTCTTCCTGACTGTGTCTACAATTAATGATGGCGCCCATACATTGCAAAGTTAACTTAAAGACGTGAAGCATTTGCGTGACTTTTAGCTATCTGATCTCGGTACGTGAATACCACTATGTTTAAAGTATGATATCGTATATTCTCATTGTCGATGCCGCCCTAATATTTATATTTCACACATTTCCATATATATTTCCACATACCATATTTTATTTGGAGCAGCTACATATAGGAAGCTAAATATACATTTTATGCAGTCACACTTTTGTTGTAACGTTTCAGAATCTTACAGAACCTTATAGAAATAAAATTAGCGAAAAGAAAATATCTCTACGGGAAGAGATTCATGCGGTGAATACTCACATGTAAATGATGCATTGATTCTTAAGAATTATCTAGGGGGTACACTGATTGTTTTTTTTTGTTCTGATTTATTTACCTAGTGTCGCTCGCGAATATATTCTGTTGTTTTCAGCGTGGAATTTCAGATATGGTGTATGTGTTAGCGGGTAAAATTAATAAATTTAAATATCTTTGTGTATTATAGAACCAGACGTTCTCTTTAACCACAACTGGGTAGGTCTTGGTCAAATATATTATTCTATTCTGCCATATGAAATTATTTGTATTCAAAATTTTGAGAACAACTGGACAAAGTTCTCTGCGAATTTAGTGGAAAAAGACACCTGCAGAGGGTAAAAATATTTCTAAATGAACAGAAAGTGAGTCGTGTGAAGAGGCGTGAGGTGGTTGGAAGTGTCGACAGACATCACAGTTGTGGTGGGGGGGGGGGTGGGGCGATAAATCTAACAGAACCGACGAAGGGAAGGAAGCAGTGTAATAGGGAGACGGGAATAAGATAAAGAGCAAATGACAAATGACGGGGGAAGGATTACAACGTAATGGAATGAGTTTCGAGAGTGATACCAGTGTAAGATAATATGCAAGTCAAGACTGTCAGTGTTGGAATGTAAATACAAGCATTGCATAAAGCCGACCGTCCTGCCATCACTCGGCAGCGTCTGTCAGAACGTTACACTGATTCTGTGGTAAAAAGAGAAGGATAATAAAACAAAACTGATGACATTGAAAGTAGATCTTTCCCTTTTCTCGCCAAAGAGAATACATCAAAGTTTTAAATTACACTGCATCACTTATGTAAATGAGTATCCTAATGAAGTCTTCTTATCTTTTTACGCTCAAGGTGTAATGCATTCGCCCTTGTGGTGTTTTTTCAGCTCTGAAACAGGAAAAACGAAAACAGCTTCAAAGAAAGGGAAGACTACGTCACTGAAAATTCGTCATTTAGAACCTTGAAGATTGGAATGGTTACAATCTTTGTGGTTTGTAACATACAAAAATGATTACCTAGAATTCTTATGAATGTTTATGATATATCTGTACACAGAATTTGGAATATCTGACTGAATAAGTCAAAATGAAAAGTTAAACATAGATTTCGCGCGCCCGTTATGTTCTTCTGTTTATCTTTTTTCTGTTTACTTGTTCCTTTCTTTATTAAATGTCAATCTCTGTTCGATTATGCATCTCGGAAGATTCTATACATTATGCAATTATTTAATTCTGGCTTTGTAACTCCACTGCGAAAGTTTGCCTTGTCTTGGTATAAGACAGAATTTCTCCTATAATAAGTACAGGATTGGCAACCTTAATTTTATTCAGTTCCTGCCAAAGCAGGTGGTACGTATATTTGCATCCATGTAAAACGTTTCCTTTAATAGGCTACTATAACGGTAATAATGGCAGACTGTAGAAATGTATTCCGCTCGTCGGATTCTCAGCATGTTCCCTTTGAGGATATTGCAAGGACGCGTGGAAGGCACATTCTTTGTCACCGTACTGAAGTAAGGAATACATAACACTGTTGTTTGTATATGTTACGGTTGAAGACTTGATCTTTCCATTGTTAAGATTATATTAGGCTGGGTTAGGATAATATTTTCCAACAAAAGAGGAAAAGTCCAGCAAGGACGTTTAGGACATTTGCCGGAAAACATAACCCAGCCTAAAGTAATACAGCCTAACTTATTATAATCTAACCTAGCCTAACCTAACCAATGTGAACTCTTATAACGTTTGTAGTCTACGCTAACACCCTGGCGCTCATGTGCCCCATGATCAATACAGAAATACGGAAAAAGGAATACGAAGGGGACAAATAAAAATGGTAGTTCGTGGGTGTAAACTACCAAGAAGTGTTGTATTAAAAATGAGGCAGTGACAAAATATATCCTATTTATTAACTAAGCACCTATGAACGTTTCAAGGAAGATACTGTGAAATGAGATATTTATTGAATTGTTAGTTGTATGATAATTCTTGAACAAAACATAAACAATCTCTTCATGTGTTTAGGGACAGGAAAGAATAATGTTAAAGCTTCATATTAAGTTTCACACAATGTATATCGGGGTTGGAAACAGATCAGTTGTAATACAGAAGCGTTTAAATGGGAGGATTATAGAAAGATTGGCCTGAACCTTCATAAATCTAGCTCGTGAGAGTGAATTATATTTTTGAGGTCATGTCATTGTCTTGTTTGCAATGCGGCATAGAACATGTGGTGGGTGATGCATGATAATTTAGTAGAAGCTCTGGAGAAGACCGTGTACCTACTTTGATCAGCCATCATTGCACACATGAGCGAAAGCGGGTTAGCATAGCTGACACCATCACTCCCACAGATGGGATCCGCTACCAGAGCCTCGGGCAGAACTTGCAGTTTTTCACACGGACTGTCGCTCCGATGACATGGGACTCCTATTCGAATAATGGTATCTATAGCAAGAAAAGAGTTTGTTTCAGTACAAGAAACTAATAAACAAAAACAATTCCATTGATTTTAATGTTGGTAGTCAACAGAGACAACTTGGAGTAGTCGTTTAAGTTAGACACCGTTTAAAACAGTATGTAGTGATGATGATGACAGCCTTCTGACGTTTCTCCATGTTTTGTGGTAAACGTTCACCACCATATAAGAGGTGCTTGCTGCCTCCATCATCAGGGCGATGTATCATAAGGTCGTTACTTACATTGGAACCAGCCGCCGTTGGTCTTCACAGCGCATGCGTAGTTTTTAGATGAATAATAGGATATGCCGTCAGACGCGCAGAACAGAGGCTGGTCTGTCCTATTTAGGGACGCGATGGCATTTTGCTTCTCCTGGCACGGATCGTACTGTTTCTGTACTACCTCTTCTTCCTCTAAATCTTTCCTACAATTTCCCTCATGCCGAACCTTTACATCTGCAACATTTAAGTCAATACAGCGCTTTAATTTTGAATCTTAACATTTTCGTCATGCTTAGTGCATAAATATTACGTGAGAGTTATAATTATTCCATCATCCTACTATTAAATTCAAACTCCAATTACATTGCTGTATTTCCTTAGTAACATGTTTAACAAATTTGATATTTGTGTGTCTTTATTTTGGTGTAGCTTATCCCCCAATTGAAGTTACTTTTATGAATACATTCAATATTTGTGTCATAATGTCGTGTCGGGATTTACGTTAGAAAAGGCGTACGTATTACTGAAACTTTTCAGAGTAACACTGTGAAAACTGGTTCCCATTCCGAAGAAATTAAGACGTCTGTAGCATTAAATTGAGATAATTCATTGAAGAATCTCTGTATTTTAAAACATTTTAAGGATATCTGATACCTTTTCTCAGATTACAAACAACACAAAAAGTAAGACATTCTTTCTCCGTGAAAATTTATTTTCCTTCTTTGCCAGTGTTATTGTGAAACTGAAGTTTACAAATCGCCTCTCACTTACGAAACTGAATGGAGATTGGCTTAGTACTTCTAATTGGAGGACTGTTACTTGTAGGTAAGGTGTGCTGATGAAAAAGTATTCGAATTCAGGACTCAGCTACCCCAGAGAGCGAGCATCACAGACCAAGACCACCTTGTAGCAATGTGATTAAAAAATAGATGTTTTAAACGTAGTACCTCCGGACACCACTCCTCTTTCTTTTGCACACTTTAGAACAAACGGATTGGGGTACGTTATATTATTTGAACCGCAAACAGGCATCATAATTGCGTTATTATCCGCTAGGTGACATGTTTGTTTTACATCTCTTGGAAGGACGATGTCTCTATACTTGCAAGGTCCGTCATGTAGAATGCGTAAATCTGAAAGAATAATTAGAAACTGTTTTGAACTTGTTTTAAAGTTGTTTGATTGTAATTAAAGTTACAATTCGGAATTGAGCAACAGTCAGCTTTGAATCGCACCATGGTTGTAGATTCGCAGGCATGCTAGCGAGTTGTAGTGTTCGTAAGTGACACCATTATTTGCACAAACAGGATTCGTCGGCCCTTTGTATCGACTGTTTCTTGGTGGCTGGCAAATGGATGTAATTAAGTCTGCATTCCAACATGGGCCTTGCTTTTTTAGAGTAATGTCTGAAAAGGCCAAAGAAAGCAATACAAAATCTTAATTATGCTGTCTATTCTTTCTGTCTCAAATCACGTTTTGCAAGTTTTTTGTGACATATAAGGCTACTTTTGAAATGCCTTCTAAAAAGTTCTTATATTTTATAGAAAAATCTAATTAGACTAGGAGTTTTAATTTGTGTTCTTAATTGTCAAACGTATGTCGTCTCATACTTAACAAAGTTTCTAAGCGTACTAACTTTGCCCCTTTAAAGACGAAAATATATTTTAATGACGAACTTCACGCTGAGAAATTGTAATCTGTAAGGTTGGATTTATGGAGAAAATGCTTTTGCAGGAGGTCGTATTACTGTAAGGGAAATTCTCAGTAGTAAAACAAGAAAACTTGTTAAAATTCAGTAAGATTTGAGGTTTTCACGGAAATGAGTCCGAAGATGACTATCTTCTGCTTTGTAGCGCCGCATAATCCGGTCGCCCTGATGATCATCAGCAGCAAGGGCCTCTGAAACGTTGGCAAACTTCTACTAGACTACAATGCGTTACAACCCAGAAGACAGACAACCGCTTTATTAAAATTTGTTTCTATACTTACTTCTTTCCGGATTTCTCATTGCAGAACATTTCAAAGCTTCCATGTTGGCGTAAACTACATTTTCCGAACTGCATACTGGTTTATACGCGAGGGACACGGTGCACTGGGCCCTACAGAGCCCTTCGTACTGGACACTGTTCCCTAGAAACAGATATTTAAAGCCGTTGATTAGCACAGGAGCCTACAGCATCACTTATTCTAATTACCTTCATCATAATCTCTGCCATATTCTCAGGATTGTGCGTGTAATTTTTTACTGTAACTGAATCATAAAATACAAATAATAGAACAGAGCAACAGATTTCGTAGAATTGCCCCCGAAATAATGCAACCTCAGCTTTGCGTGTGTTTTCAAAACAAATGAAAGCTATTTTACAGCTAGGCAATGTTACTTGGGGTACTCACACATGCGTAGTCGCTGTGCCTCACACATCATTTCCCATACGCTGCTGTACGTGACGTTGTCCGAACCACAAACTGGACGCCACACGACGAACGATAAGACGCAGTGATCCGGTTCTGGATTCGTGGAGCACGCCCCGTGTCGTACTGATAACCCATGCACTGCAATGCGCAATTGAATGTCGTCGTATCAACTGAGATGGAAATATGACTAGAATTTATTTGTCGGCAAGGATTTAGAAAGAGTCGGTCTTCACTTATTTTGATGTTTCGTCTCAGAATTCATTTGAATATAATGAGTAAAATTTGAACAGTCAAGTTATGCTGTTGAAATTCGAACTGGTTCTTTTTGAATGCATATCTAGAGTGTTGGCTTCCGGTGATACACCTATGTGAGAATTTATAAGCACTTACATAACTCATAATCTGAGTTTGAATAATGTAATGGTTCCTTTAGATTCGGTCTTGTAAGCTAGAAACTCAATTCGTTTTAAAATTTTAGAATTCCAAATGCTCTTCATTAATATCATTATCGGATATACATCGCCCCGCCTACACAATCAACACTGTAGTTGAGGATTAATATATACAAATTATTTTTGTTATTAATAAAATTCAAAAATATTTTAGTTAAAATATTTTAAGTTCTTAATTTGTGTAGGCTGTAGTGTATTTGTAGTTCGATTAATACATAACCTAATTGTTAAAGCTGTGATTTTAAAAACCTAGACAAATTACTTTTATGATAAAACTAATGTATAAAATTCACTGTATTCTTTACTCCTAGTAATGTTTGGATTATATGATAATGGTATGTGGATGTTCAGTTAAGTGAAACATGTACCTCTTATCACATAATAACAAATTTTGCTTAAATACGGAGTAGTTTTATATCTGGTTTTAATTATTACATATTTATACAACAGGGTGCTGCGATAAAATATTACTTTATCTGAAATTGATCATAAGACGGAGATATGCTAGTTGAACACGTCATATGCACATACACTAGTCGTATAAAGACCAACTTGAAAATAAAGAATATTTATAACACTTGTTCACTGGGTTAATTTGACAAATTAAAGGCAATTAAAATACAAAACAAAAGCGAAATATTTTGATATAATTTAAGTAAACTTACCATCAAAATATCGTATGAAACACTGAAACGCTACAAAGTTCTGGAAAGTTTGGTTGTTTGATGCACACAAAGGATCGTAGGTAATGTTCTTTGCCGCTTCGAGACAGATAAACTCGCCCTTGGTGTGCCAGTGAGACGATGTACGGACCACAGCTGTAATGAAAACTAGCACAAACGTTCACTTAAGTGCCATTGGACTGACATACAAAATCAACTAAATACAACTCCACTGGACACATTCGAAAATGTATAAAATAAATATTTGTAAATTAGGCCTACGAATCAAAATGTAGAATGGTTTTAGGAATATATATATATATATATAGTTTGACGACAAAGTGGTCTACAAGCTTGGCAAAAAAGGGTCAAAGATGAAATTCTATATACCTGCCATTTGACATAAATAAATAAATAAATATATGAATCCAAGATTTGTATGAAGTCAACACTGGCTTGTTACAACAAAATCATGAGTGAAGGTTTTGACAGTGGTCGATTCGTTACACTACGATTGCGTCGACATTGCACATTATCATAGATCAGAGAAATAATAAATACACGACGTTTCGGGAGCATCTAGGTAGTTGAATTGTTAAATAATTTCGAATTATTTCTTATGTACACTTATATTTGGTATAAATAAAATATGACGCATAAAATAATTAACATTGTAGGTAGTTTGCATACCAAGAAGCGAAGTCACGATCATGGCTGTTTTCTGTTCACTTGTGTAGAAGCTTGAACTTCCTTCCAGCAGTTTCTTGGGCCTACATCACAATACACAAATCACATCACGTAACCCGTCAGTTTGGTAATAAGAACTACCGCTCTTTGAGTGCCATATGTGACCCAGAAAATCCAATAACTAATCTTCTCCTGACGTCAGTTATATTTAATATTAGCGCTTTTAAAAACGCAACGTTATGTTTACTCTGACATTTCCTGTTGGTTTCCAGGATGTTAAATATGTAGGATAAGGTCAGACTTTATTCACGCATTTCGAAGTGTAACGGATGTAGAATTTCACATAAAAAAGGATTGGTGTCCCAGCTGACGTCTGATGCGTAAATGAAGCTAATATTTGTCATAGAATCTGCACGATACCGGCCGTTTTACAGCGTATGATTCACAATAAGGTCTTTGTTCTCAAATTGAATATTGTTGTGATGGATTCAATCGGCCTAAGGTTATGTGTTCACAGACGTATATTCAATCTTATACAGTGTCGATTCTTCTGTTGCATATGATTATGAAACTAGGGTTTTTACCCCCAGAGACGAAAGCAGATTGAGAGTGTTTCAAAACAAGTTTCTGGGGAAAATATTTGCAGAATGGAAAAAAAAAACTACACAATGAGAAGTTTTATAATTTGTGATTTTTATCAAATAGTACTGAGTGATGAAACAAGGATATGGTATTGGTGTTGCATGTAGCACGCATGAGGGCGTCCATAAAGACATACGTATTTATCAGAAAATGTGAAGAGGAGAACCAATGGGAAGTCCAAGAAGTAGATTGAAATATGGTATTAAAATATATCTAATTTGTTGGCATTTGACTAGGTTTGGTTATTCCTATGGTAGGCGCCATCTTAAATGTGACGTGGGGAGAGGAAGAGAGAATCTGCTAGCGATATCAAATCTCACCAAAGCACCAGGAGTGGCGTATAAGATGGCACTACTGTACAAGTTTGTCGTGAATATCAATCTCACCAGTTCTCGATTCTCTAAAGGCTATGAGTCTAAAATATTATCATATGTGAGAAAATGTGATATTTTCACCAGATGGAACCGATCATAACGTTCGAGTACAAAAAAGGAAAGACAGGCTTGATACATGGCGTCAATATCTCTGCTCTCTGCCACTGTCGAAAAGAAAGATAACTCTTCTTCTGTTTTGGAGTGAACGGAAGTCAGAGCGGAACCGCCCAGCCTCCCCTCTACGTGAAACATCGCTATATATTTCCTGATAGGAGGAACATAGGAAGTGCAAGAAATACAAACGACTGTCTAGAGATTTTCTTCTGTAACCGTCTTGTCTGCTGTTGTTGGTTTTGCAACATGTCAGTTTTATTTTACAATTAGATGCAATTTACGTTCGTTTGTAAAATATTTTGACACTTAAGCTACTCACGTTTACATGAGTTCAAGAAATTCTTACGTAACTAAGAGGAAGAGTGCCCTGACATTTTCTGTTATCTGCCACCCAGTTGTTGGCAGTGTTTCTTGAATATGAACTTTGTTCTTCAGCCTGATATTTGAACAGAGGCCCGATAATGACTTTTCGCCATAAAATGTTTGAACGGGCGTTTATTATAAAATGGTAATTAGGGATGTAATATTAATTTAGATTTTTAGACGATAGAGCAGAAGAAACCAGTGGTTTGACCAAGATGAACGGAAGTGGGCTATATAAAGTTCTAATAGTTGTAGAATCCAAATAAATGGAGATAATCTGAACATCGAAAGACATTAAATCACTAGGGCATGCGGGAAGATAAGAGGAAAGCTTGTAAGGATAAAATTAATAATCTTGAAACAATAAAACAAAACTAATAGAAAAATGTTTTAGTCATAAATACATTTATAGAGGGAGAAGGAGGGAATATTTTAAGTGAATATGTTATATTTAGGTTAATTATGTGTCTGTATAAGTTATCTAGTTAGCTTCGTACGGGCAGACATTTATTTGACTCATTTTTATTTCGCATTGGTCTCAAACAAGACGATGATTTATTCCCAGTGTTTTATTCATGCCATTAGTATAAGCCAAGAGAATCAGGAACTGTCGGTATTAAATGACAAATATCGTACTTCTTTGTAACAGAGATGTTAATTTGATGATTAAAAGGCTTAAAAATTAGTTGGTTTATTTTAAAAAGGAACTGTTATGTGCTTAACTATATATAATTACTCATTTGTCTAGACTGTGGCTTTCCTGTACTTCAGTTACAAATCCAAACTATTTAAGACGTAGCATACAAGCTTGTTTTGTACATATATATCCTTTGTTTCTGTAATATGGGTACTGAAGATAACTTCAATTAGTTAAACGTAAGTTTCATTATGATTTCATGCTTCTCGGAGGTGTGTCGAGAAGCAGCAAGGCTTGATGTAAATTCCGCCTTTATGGAGGATGCGTGTGACAGTTGTCCCATAACAGAGCCCGACGTCGTCTTGGCTTTGCCCAAGAGAATACAACGGTTAGACAGACCCTGCGTCTTCAAGCTTCGGCTAACAGAGTTACTGCTCCTTCTCCAGATTGCTCTGGAGGAAATGAAACAGAAGCGAAACCAGAAGGTATCTCACAAATTGCATTACCCATAAAATTAATTATTATCGAAATAAAACGGATGGATCTCGAAAATCGTTAATCTAAGCAAATTTATGCATTTCGCTGAACGCGGTATGTGCACTTGAAAGACCGACTTAGATTAGGTGGGTGATAATGAAATCTCTTTAAGAATTAACACGAAATCTGTAAAAAAAATTAAGGCAGATAATGCGCTGTCTTGTAAAGGTTAGACTTTCTGATGAGGTCTAATTCCAATTGAAACAGGCACAATTTTTCAGTATAATTGCTTATTAAAACATTATGTAACATAAACGTGCACTGACTGAACGTCACAGGCCTACAGATTTTAAAAATAAAAGTTATAAAGTGCCTGCAGATATATTGATGTATATTTTTATAAATGTAAAACTCTGCCCCAAATTATATTCGTTATAAAAAATATGGAGAAAGGGAGGAAAATGAGAAGACAGGAATGTAAAAAGGAAAAGAATAACCGAAAATGAAAAGGAAGTGAAAAAAAAAGACAGATAGACTGTAGGGCCTATGTCAAATTAACATTTATTATTTGTATAATATGTACTGTGCAACTTGTAGATTTTATGAACATGTAATATCGAATTTCTGAAAGTTAAAGATATATCAGTCGCTTAATTAAGCACCACAACATACGAAATTATCGATCAATAAGGTTTATAAGTGTTTGCACATTTTGACAAAAAGGAAAACCCTGCTTTGTCGGAAATACAAGCATTCTCGCCCAGCTCTTTTGGATGTAATTTGGGTTAATAGTAATGGACCTTCATTTTACACGTATTTCTGTCTATTACTACTTAAATTGTTCTGAGAAAATGGTAAAATTTCGTCATATATTTATAACGCTGCTTTAGGTTTCAATTTAAATTAGATAAAATATTTTTTTAGAGGTTTAACGTGAAGTATAAATTTTTAGGAACTTAAATCAAAATTGCTTCAGACATGTTCTTTAGATTTATTCCTGTAACATATAGAAAACAACGGGTTTTATTATTAAATAATATTAAGCTCCTGTACAGTAACAATCCACTATTAGCAGTCAGTATTATCTGTGACAGTACTCCATAAGCCCACATAAAACCTTTAAGTTTTATTTATTCCGCCATAGACTTCACCAAACCGCCATGGTGGTCTAGCGGTTAGAACGCTGGCCTTGTAATCCTGGGGTCTCGGGTTCGATTCCCGGCGGTGCCCGAATTTATAACTTGTGTTGGGCAAGGCCGTGGTCTAGGCAACACGGAGTTTTCCTCCGTGGCATCCCAACAATTACTCCATTCACACACAGAAGAAGGCAATGGCAAAACACTTCTGGATCATCTGCCAAGAACGTATATGAACAGGTCCCAGTCCGAGAAAAGGATGGAAGGATCCTGTTCATATGGACCTGTCGTCAGACAGAACACTAAATAAATAGACTTCACCATCCTAACAATACCAAAATATTATATATTATTTTAAATTGTTATTAGGCTAACTGTCTCATTGTCGCCGATAATAAGTTTGATTAAACCGAAATTACCTTGCGTACAGCAACATGATTCAGATTCATTTCCAGTAGTAAATTGTTTCACAAATAAGAATTCGATTGATAAATATTTACACTTTTAAGCGTGTTACATATTGAATTAGTGATGAAGAATGAACACACTTAAGAGGACTTAACTGGACCCGACTCTCTGGAATACGCGAGAGTCTCAAAGATTTAAACTTGAAAGGTTCAAAAGGTAGGTCTCTCGTCGCGATTTGACGTTACAACCTGACCCTTCAGTTTATGACGCATAAAACGCGTTCTGCGGCTCTTAAAGTGTCCATTACCGAGGCTTTTAACATCTATAGTCGTTCCCCCATCATGTGCAATTTTATCGCGGGCGCAGAGAATTCACCGCGTTGCTCACAAAATAAGTCACACTCTGCAATGCACAATATAATCTGGAGTTCTTTAATTGTTTAAAGTAAGCGAAAAATATTTTTCATATTGTTTAATTAAAACCAACTATAAAATGATAAATATTGCATGAAGTTTTACAACTTAAATGCATTAATGCATTTTAAGTTTATTTAAGATTGCTCTCACTGGCTCAAATTCTATAGCGTTGAATATTATAAATGTTAATGAATGATGAATTGGAAAGGATGTGGAAGAGATCGGTCGTGGCCTAGTTTGAGTTATTATTCAGAACTTAAATAGAGAGAAGGGAAAATCACACAAAACTTAATCGGCATATCTGAAGTAAATAAATATACGAGAAATAAACAAAATTGAATAAGTATGATATTTAGTAGGAGTACAGTATAAATCTTCTTCTTCTTTATTACGCCGTCTCCTTTACAGGAGGTTGGCGACATTATGAACAGGATCCTTCCATCCTTTTCTCGGACTGGGACCTGTTCATATAAGTTTTTTAGGCAGGTAATGCAGAAGTAATTGCCTTCTTCTGTGTATGTGGAGTATGGAGTAATACCACGGAAAAACCGGGGAAGACCCGGAGGAAAACTCCGTGTTGCTTAGATCACGGCCT